AGGATGTCAGTTAGCAGATGAACTGAAATATATAGACACAGGGAAATGTGTCTTTGGAAGGGTCTAGGTACCTGTGGTTTTGCAGCTTGCATACTAAAAATTAGGCAGATCAGGGGTATCTCTCACTTCAATGTGTATTTTATGCTACAGATGCAGATGACCATGCCAACAAGGATTCAACACATGCATAAATACATGGTTAAGGATTTTGAGTATGGACAATAGCTAGTCTTGGGCAACATGTGTTAGATGCCTGACATACCTTCTCAGGGTAAAACTTTTCACTATGTGATTGTAGTTTAATCAGTTAATGGTCAAGTGTCTCCACTGCTATGATCCTCTGCAGAGACAGAAGAAAAGATAAAGCTTCATTTTCTGGAGCAAGGTGCATATTCTCCATGTCTCTGCCATTGGACATGTTGGTCATTTCCCTTTCTAGTTCATTAGTTCCAATTACTTTGGGCTACCTGTTTAAGCTGAAAGAGGTAGTGAGGAAGCCAGGCTGTATTAAGGTCCACTTAACACCTAATATGGCCCCAGATATAGATATTGGCTTTGTCATCCATAATGTAGTCATATATTCTTTTCTCATTCTTTACCTTTCAATCTTACCAGTAAAGACACAGTTTGTGTATCTACTGGGAGGGAACTGAAACAGTGCTAGGTATGCCTTGCCCTTACATGCCCATGCTCTGAGTCTGAAGGAGGCAGGACAAACCACACCACATTACAGGGTATGACAAAGGGAAAAAATTCTTTTGATTTCAAATGATACATGTACATATCAATTACATACTTCATGTACTGGTAAGTAATCTTTGTTTTATAATTAGATATGTTAAGAATGTCTTTTCCCCTCCTGGAATTTGCTGATACAGTGATTATGCCTCAGCCATCTCCTGGAATAAGCAACTCGGGCATCTGTCCTAGAGATAAACATACCTCTTCAAAGCACTGTTTTGATTCATTCCTGGAGCTTCATTCCTCCATCCAATTATGCATATTGGATGGAGACTGGGGACCTCTGAAAAATTATTATGGTTGTGTAATTAAAGACTAGCATAATACATATGCACAAAACTATAAAATGCAGGTAATATGCAAATTATTGCATTTTCTCATTTTATTTTAGTGTCTTGACTGTGCAGTTATTTTTTGGCAAATTGCTATTTGCTGGTTTGGGTTTTTTTTTTTTAATTGACAGATTATAGACGCTGTGTTGTGACATTTTTAATCAGCCTTACAAGTAACATATTTAAAGGTAGAAAGTTGAGACCCAACTTCAACTGGAGGTCCATTTCACTTTGTGATCCCTCCAAAATATGATCCTGCACATGTATTTGTAATTTTTCACTATGCTTGATGCATACACTTTGAGGAAGTCTACGTCCTGAATGAATGTACAGATAACAGCCAAGGGCTGGGATTTAAAGTTCTGGGACCTCTATTTTCTCTAAGAGTTGTTATTACTAAGCTGTTTTTCTTTCTTTCAAGACTAGAGTATTGTAAGAACTGAAATATGCTGCCTTATACACTAGAAGCTAACACGGAAGGAGCTGCTGTCTGTACACAGCAAAAGTACAATCCAACGTGGACAGACTGGACTTAATCTTTTGCTAACTTAATGATTGCCATGTAGCCAAAGGCAGTGCCTTGTAGCTGGAGAGTTCTCTTTTAAACTACATTATGGATATCTAAGGAGGTCTTAGGACCTTTGTCTTTTCTAGAAGATCCCAGGAGATTTTCCAGACTTGCTGCATTTCAAACTACTTTTCCAATTTTTTTATTTTGCTTTATCATTCCGTAGTTTATATTTTGATTTCCATTCATGGTCCTAGTCACAGAACTTCCTTGCAAAGCTCTCATGTGCTAATAAGGACCTTTATGAATTGTTTCTGTTGTTGAGATTGTTTGTCAGTAGATTGGTATCCTGTGGAAACAATACAAAAGGCACATCCGGGAGATGGAACAGTATCAGTTCACAAAACCAGGAGAACCTGTTCATGCCCAGAGATAAGGAAACATCATCCTGTGCCTATGTGTGCAGAAGCACTGGGCTTCTTGAAGGAAATTGCTGAATTTAGGAAACAATGTTTAAATCTGCAGAGTACTAATTAGTTACTACTGAAATGAAAGCTACTAAGAAAAATGGTAGCAGCCCTTTTACTTCTGAGCTAGAATGAATGATAGCCCTGACTCGTTTGTTTTATCACCCGCACTACAAAATCTGTAGTCAGCGTGCGTTTTGCACATGCCACAACATACTCTTACAAATCTGTTGTGTCTAAATTTCCTTTACTTGATTTAGCTTGCTCAAGTACTGTAGTAGGAAGTGTTGTAATTGTCTAGGTAAAAGGTTTTGATTAAATTGATCTTCCTGTGTCCAATATAGGTCTAATTTAACCTTGAAAATATATTGCGGGTTTGTACGCCCCTTACAAGGTTAGAAAGATCCTACATTCTAGCAAGCCTGCCCTGTGTAGCCTTGCCTTTGATACTACAATTTATTTCTTCCCTTTCTTCACATGCATCCATGTGCACAGCTCCTTGGGAAGTTTTAGAGCAAAGTAGGACCTCCCAGGGATTTGCTGCTATAGTAGCATACTTAAAATATAACGTACATATGTTAATAAAGGACAATTAAATTCCATTTGTAGGCTGCGTCCTCTTCCAACCTCTCAGGCTGTAATCTCAGGAATGTTTAAAGCTGGAATAAGCTATCATTGTGACAAAAGCAGCAGTCCTGCCCTTTTGCTTTCCTGCCAGTGTTGATTTTGCCAGCCTAGCTCTGCTACAGCTGTATAGTAAAACAGATCAGGGGACTGATCTGACTGGAAAATACTTCCCCATCTCTATTTACGATATAAGCTGTATGTTTGCTTTCATATTTTCTCTTCAAAAAGATGCCATAGTTCAATACTGTAACACCTGACCTCCCTACATATTAATAGTAGAGATATTTAAAAGGTATTTAAAATAAACAAGTAGAAAAAGATGATTAAAATGCTTGCTTTGTGGGAATAATATAGCTCCTATTTAATCAAGTTACTAATATATCACAAGGGAAATTTTTTACATCCAAGTTACACTTTTTCTTTTCAGTCTAGCCTTGCATTTCTTTTAGGAAAGTGAATATGAAATAAAACAAACTCTCCTCTCATACTACATATTACCAAACAGTGGGTTGTTCTAACCAAAATAAAGTTTTCTGTTAGGACACAAAAATACATTGAGGTGTTTGGGGGTTTTTTGTTTTAGTTTGTTTTTTTCCCCAGTATCTCTTTTAGATTTCCTGGGCATAAATTTTGTTTTGTATTCTGTATGTGTTGATCCACTTGGATAGGTGAAGTACTCTTTTAGATGCAGTATACAAAGGTTGGCATTCTAAGCAGCTGTAGAAGACATAAAAGTTGTCAATAATGAAAAACGAAGACCAATGAGCTCATTTGAACTTTAGTACTTAGTGTAGCTTCTAACAGAAATCAAGTATTATTCTTTGGACATCATATTTGACTGCCAGAAAATGCTCAATAGATGAAATAAATGTGTGAAGAAAATAATGCTAGTCCACTTGGAGAAAATACAAAATTAGCATGTTGGAGAAGGGAAGTTGGATCTTCTGCGTAGAGTAGGCAGACTGTGGGAACATGAGATTTTTGGCAGTAGGAAGATCTGAATTTCAGAGCTTTCTGTAACAGGAAACTTCTAATAACATGTATTTATTTGAATTCTGGAGCAGGAATACTAAAAGAAAGCTTAATTATATTAGTGAACTAATTCTCTCCTTTAGTTTTATTTAAAGACAATCTAGGAAAAAGAGAGTCCAAAAGAAGTAATGCTTACTAAGACAAAATTAGTGTTATGTTTTCTGTGGACACTGCTGATGCTTGTCTGAAGATTTTAAATTTTATTCTTTCAAGCAAGAAGGTTATCTTGTAGTAACCGGCATGTGGAAAACACTGTTCCAGGAATTTTTGGGGCATATTACAATGAAGGTTTCAGTTTGCACAGTAGAATGTTTTACGACTCTCTATTAATTGTAGCATAATACAGTCTACAAAGAAAAACTGCTATCTGTTACATAATTGTGTTTTACTTTTTTTCTTAATGATAGTGATGAGAATAAGAAAACCAATATTTTTTAGAAACTGTCTAACTACAAAGGGGCCATACTGTTACGCTGTCCCATTGCATACAGTACCCTAGATACCTGGGCATGAGTAGATTGTTCCTGAACTTTGAAACTGGTTATTTAATAGGCCTGCTATAGGTTGTTTTGTTGTTGTTTTGGGATTTTTTTCTTTTACCCTTTTACTTACCTAAAAACAGAAGCTGAACTACAGTGAATTAAAAATGAGTGATTCAAACAATGCAAACCAAAGCTTGCTTAAGTTTTTGAGTGCCCTAGTCTGAAAGCATTGCATATCCCATCTTGCTTTTTGTTTTGTCTTGCATCTAGTATACTTTCCTTAAACCTGTGAGATTTGTGTTAGACATTTGAAGAATTACTTGGTACTTTCTGGAAAAAATGTGTCTGTTGGCATCTTGAGCATTGCTTGCTTCTGCTCTGATGTTAAGATAGCACGGTGGCAGAAGGCAGATGATGCAGCCGTAAAACAAAAATCTCTGAACTCTGAAACGATTTTACTTTTCCAGTGTAAACATTAATATTGCTTTATTTCTAAGCTCTTATTTAGATTATAATTTATAGAATTAACTACTGCTTATATATATATTTTTAGAAGTATTTAAGAGCCTCTCTGCATAGGTGTACTGGTGAAAGCAGCAGTTGCAAAATGAAGGGTATAATTTTAACAACTGTAGTCTTGTATTTATAATTTTTTTTGTGATATAAAAAGTTCTATCAAGAGGAAATGTAGAATTGGGTGCTGGAGTTTTATAAAATAAGAAATGAACCTGTGTTAGAAAATTATTTTTTCTATAACAGTCTTTCTTTCCTTCTTTTTTTCTTTTTCTTTTTTTTTCTTTTTTTTTTCTAGGACCGGAATAGGCCCTATGACACTTTTAACTTGCACTCTTTGGAAAATTCCTTAATGGATATGATAAGGACTGATCATGAGCCTCTGAAAGGTAAACACTACCCTCCCAGTGGCCCACCAATGAGTTTCGCTGATATAATGTGGAGGAATCATTTTACAGGTTAGGAATATTCATATGTCCATGCTTGCTTGGTGTTTAAACAAAAATCAGCTTTTCGGTATTGCTGTAAACTTTTTGCTAATGAATGAGTTGTCAGTTATGTAAAACTTCTGTTTTCCCACCTGAAGATAGTCATCGCTGCTGTAGGAAGATAAGATGAAATCTGTATACAATTATTATAAGTGTACAATCATAATATTATCGAACTGGCATTTCCGAAACTTGATGTTGTGTATCAGCAAATTGCACAGTTGGGTCTCCTGCTGCAGCCACTCAGTTCAGAAAATGTGTAGTGCAACTGGAGTCCAATTATGTTCAACATCTTACTCAAAGTTAATACTAATCTTATTTTTGGATCATCAGCTAGTATACAGGGTTCTAAAACAACCACTGTATCAAGCTTACTCACTACAGTTGTTTCAAGTTTCTTTAAAAAAAAATGAATTTTAATTTCGTTTTCAAATTGTTAGGAGGAGCCAAAGGCTATTAGATGTTTTTAAGTGCTGGGAAAGTTTTGATGATTTATGCTACTAAACTGTGTGTGTTCTACCAGGTGTAGCATTGGAGATGAAACCATTTCTAATACTTAGCTGATACTGAATAGTGAAAGGTTGTGGCAGCATTTCAATGACTAAATGTTTCCAATTGACCTGCACACTCCTCTGTCTTAATCTTTCATTAGTGAAGTTTAAAAATAGGTACACATTCTTGCTCACATGCATTCTTGCTGACTTTGAAGACTGAAGCTAATAGTAAGCTATGTACAAAGGAAGTATTGAGCTAAAAACAAACTCTAAGAAGTCAGGACACTGTAACTGATAGAGAAGAAATTTAGTTGTGTATGGCACTTCTATGCTAATGCTTCTATAAATACTTTTATGATTTCAGGACTGCCTCATTTGATCCCCTCCCCATTTGTATATTACATGTGGACAAATATTTTTTTCTTGTTCTACGGTCTTGTGCCTTTTTCATAATCTTTCTGGGTACAGAGTTTTTTTTACAACCAGACCTAACTGGGTTCTGTACTCTTGGCTCTTTTGATGTGTGCTTTCCACTATTATCTCAAAATGTGCTGTGCTATAGACTTCACGTGTCTTTAATGGCAAGAAATACTGTCTCATATCTGTTCTGATCATAGTCCTCTAAAATAAGTGTCAACCTGAAACTTATTAAAAACAAGCTCAACAAAATTGAGATTTCTGCTGGATATAGATTTCATATGGCTGGTATTAAAAAAAATATCCAAATTGCTAGTAAGTAGATTAAAATATTTATTGTATCTTATTAAATATATTATCATCTAGCTAAAACTTCATGTTTTTAAAATCAATATTTATTTGAATATAAAAATTAAGACTAATTTTTTAAAGACTGAATTTTCATATGAACCTGAGCGCAGAAAAAATGAGAAAGATTGGATTAGAAATTGTATTACTCTAGGAAAAGACTTGAACATCATATAAGTGCAATTTTGCTTATGCTTTTATTCTTGTCTCTTTATAACCATTTTAAAAGAATCTTTAATTCTTTTCTGTTGTTGGGTCACTCTATCAAGAATAGTTTCCAATACACAGTTGAGCTGGTCTATCTAAGTGTTGCAGGTGTGGCAACCTGACACCTGAGTGTCATAATGCTATTTATTGTTGGTGTTTTGCATGAGGTAGTAAAGGAAATTCTTGGTTTCATTAAGCATCTTCATGCTTTTCAAGAAAAGTATCCTTTCAAAAACAAACTTAATATTTTCATCTCTACTAGGTTATCCGTTTATGTAGGAGACTGACTAGTTTAAATGGACATTTGAAAGCAGTAGGAACTGTTTCCTTCTGCTCAAAAAGTAAAACCAAAGAGTTGGGTATTAATTGTAAAGTTTGAGTTGATCTTTTCCATTTGCCAGTGGGACTGTTAGCTTTACTCCTTCTCTAACAAACATTTCTGTCCCTTACTGGATGTACTCTTTCTATCTCATTTTCTCACTCAGTGCTGCTTGCCTGTTTTGACCTTCCTGCCTCCTTACTTAGCACTCTTCCAGCTTCTAGTACAGTAACTGTTGGAGAAGTCTTGTTTACTGTTAGTTATCTCTGTCTCTGCCCAGCTGTGTGTTTTTTAGTTTTTGGTTGGGTGTTGTTTTTTTTTCTTTCCCCAGTCTTGCTTTCTTTTCCTCTTCCCTCTAAGTACAGGGCTTACTTTGCTAACCTCCAGCCTTGGCTTGATCTAGCGTGCACTTTCCTCTACTCCTGTTTTCACACTATGCAGCATGACTGGCAATATTTGTAGGAGTGGCTGTTTCAGGACGTGTTCATTCTCCCTTCCAAGAAGTGCTCTCTTCTTCTTTATTAAACAGATCTGTGTTACTATTTTAACTGAATCCTTTTCACAAAAAAAAATGTTTTTCTGCAAACTTTGATCCACTCCTCAAATTGCTTTCCTATTGTATTTTCATTGTTGCCTTTTCTGTGAAAATTGGTCTTGACTTTTCCCCTGTACCTCCAGCTTTCTGCTTTTCCTCTACCAAAGATGTGGAAGGTTTTCAACTGCTGTTCTTCTCTGCACCTTCCTCAGATTTCACTTAACCATGTCTTCTAAACTCACTTTTTTTTTCCTTCTTTATCCCACTCTCCTCTGACTCTCTGCCTTACAGTAGCAGTACATTTTAGTCTGTAATCACCTTGCCAAAGTAAGTGATCAACTCTGCTTGCTTTTGCTTGTTTCTTAAGTCATTGTCACATTTTCATTTATTTTCACCTTGAAGCCTTTTGAATCTACTGGTTATGTACACTTCAGCTTGATATTTCAGTTCCTCATAGACATTCCTGTGTGAATGCCTCTTGTTCAAAATTTCAACTTTCTGAAATGTTATTACCTTAACCAAATCTCAGAGCTAGTTCCTCTTCATTTTACCTCCTCTGTCTTTCATAGTAGACTGGGTGTGTTTTTTCCCTTTAAATCTTCCCTTCTTCTAGCATCTGTGACTGTCTTCTCTTAGGTTTTTTGCAGCTTTTTCTTGTGTAGATAGAAAGTAAAACAACCACAAAAATCCTGGTTTGAAAAACAAACAAAGAAAAATTATGAGATGGCTTTCAAGTGACTTCTTAAATTGTTCACCTTTTGGTAAATGAGCTTTGTTTTCTCAATTTTAGCTGACAGTGCTTACATGTCAGTTGGGCCTTGTATTTACTATCCAAATTTTTAAACAGAAAGGGTGAAAAGATGAGTACCAAAAGCCTCTGATTTTGAAAACACAGAAAGATTTAATTCTAGAAAAGCTGTACGTGTCTTGAAGCCTCCAATGCGTGTTAGAAAGCCAATGCAGCTATTTCAGGATCATTTCAGCCTGTCGCTGGCAACAAAGTCTTCAGCAAATGTGCAGTTTTAGAAGTACAGTCCGTATACGTATTCATTAATAATATTGCAGGTGGTTTATCTGAAGTTTGAAACTTTGCTTGAAACCTACTCTCCTTGGCATATATGTTCCCTCACATCCCAGCAGATACTTGAAACAAAAAATAATTCTCTTGGATATAGAACAAGGGCTCTAGATTAGAATGTGGATGGGAGGGTTAACCATAAAAGATTCTGATGTGAAGACCAAATGGAATCATAGAATCATTAAGAATCATTAAGGTTGGAAAAAACCTCTAAGATCATCAAGTCCAATTGTCAACCCAGCACACTGTGCCCACTAAACCATGTCGTCAGGGTTGAGAATGGAAGAGTCTATCCTCTTGTTTGTAGTAGTTGAAACTTCACACCTTCTCTGAATCTGAGATATGGTCAGACTTTCTCCTGCAGACCATGGAAATTGAGTGTATTTCACAGTCACCAAAGCAGGTCACTTTGTTAAAAGCATGATCCACTTGGCAGTGAGAGGGCATGTGCTTAAGTGACTTTTTTTTGGGGGGGATGGGGTGGTGTTGTTTTCAAGCATGGAACAAGGGAAAGGCTGAAGGATTGTTAGTGCAGCAGAAACTAACTGATCCTCAGTCTTGCAATATTGAGTTACTTATGCTGAGTGAGTGCTAACTCAGTCTGATTGGCAGGCTGGCTTGGTGCTCTCCAGCTAGGAGAGCTAGGGTCACTTAGTTCTCTCTGGGTGTTTCTTGCTGTAAGAGAGATTTGATATCTAGCTCTGAGGTTTCTGGACTTAGATAAATTACCAGCTTATCCATCTGTGTTGTATTTTATCTTTAGCCTAGTCTTGGGAGAAAGTGTTCAGCGTCAGCTCTTATTCTGTTTCTGTGTAAAACTGATGTCTATTTCTCAGCTTTTCCTACCAGATAGGGGTACCCTGCTGTAGGTTCCAAGCTTTCTGTCCTTGTAGTCTGGGAACTGTGTAATTTTATGAACTGTTCACCATTTTCATGCTTTGAGATCTAAAGAATGGAGTCTCATTAAAAAGGCAGTCTCATTTTCTTTTCTCCCAAGACAGTTAGGCAGACTTCCTTATCTGCTTTCTCTGCCATCAAGACCAGCTTCAACATTTTTCTTCTCTTTCAGTCAATAATCATAAATCTTTTCGCCTTTCAAAAAGGAAGCAAAAAAGAGGGAAAAAGTACAGTAAAGTAATTGTTAAGCTTTTTCTAGTTAAAGATGAGTTATGGTATATGGCCAAGGGTATCTGCTTGTTCCCTGTGTCAGTCATAACCAGGCCTATATGACAGAAGTGTGCAAAATTTTCTAAGATGTTTTTCCTGAACAGTCTTATTTATTTTTTCAGTTGCCAATAAAATACATTATATGCTACAAAAACATGGGAGAGGGTTTTTCTTTTATGAGGAGAGGATATATTTGTAGTATTTTATAATCTGTTGGTATTTACATACTGCTTCTACCTAATGCTGTAGGGCAAAACTGAATTGTACTATAGGAATCAATAGCTATGGGTAGATGCTACTTATTACTGACTAAAACATTTCTTTACTACATCAAAGTGTCTCCTGTCTATGGTGTAATATGTCACTGTTGCAATATGTTTATCCATGTCAAACTATTGCATTACA